CGGTCTTTGGTGGTGGGCGGAAGCGTGCGGAAGCGTTGGAAGCACTGGTCCATGAGTGGAATATGCAGATAAAGTTAAAATGCATTAGACACACGTGACCTATAGTACAGAGAAGTTACATATACAGGGCCTTACCTATCACAATTCTCATCTGAGACTCTAATTCAACACATACTGACGGGCCTTTGACTTCTACTACACGTCCCCTGTATCCCTTGTGAGGACCAATGCGAATTTTCACAGTAGTACCCACCAAAGCATCATGACCCAGTCTTCCTCCCCTATGTCTCCCTCCAGCTGCAATTGAAAATACAGATCAAAGTTATGAGAAACTCTAACTTCATTGAACTGATATGAACATTTAACAGGATAGGCAAATAGAATATCTGGTGCAAAAACTTAAACCATTGAACTACACGGATTAAGAGGTTTAACTGATACAATGGGAATGATTGCATCTTTGGTATCTTAGAAAATGGGATAAGCAACAGACTGTTACAAAATACAATTACCAGAATTACCCGATAGAAACTTTTAATGATAATGAAGATGATATCAGGAAATCTCAACTTACAGTTATATCCCATGCCTCCTCGTTGAAATCTCCTTGGGGATTGGGGTACTGGGGCTGGTGTCTTGAAAGCGCCAAACCTCGAAATGGAATCACCCTAGAGGTAAAAAGTTAATGGGACCAACAAATCTATCGCGTATAAAACATAAAAGATCATAAGACAACCAGAAAGCTTACATTTCTATCAGCACCGGGACGTGTAGCACCAACGACAACACATGATGTACATTTTGTGCAAATAAATCCAGCATGGTCAAGGGGATGGCAGTCATTTACAAATAAGATCCCTTTATAAATATGCACCACTGGACCTTGCTTACCCTGTTAAACAGATTGCTATGAGAGTAGCACATATGAATGTTAATTAACAAGTACAGTAACTGAAAAGATCCCTGACTTTGCTAGGAACCTCAATGACCCAGATGACATCTTTCACAGAGATGGTATTTTCGTAGCGGTCTTGGGCATCGGATTTCTTCTCAATTTTGCACTTAATTTCTCTGAGTTTGACAAGAGCAACCTCTGGTCTATCCGGGAACCCTTTAAGAACCTTACAGAGCAAACAAAATTAGGGCACATTCCCAATCAGCGGTTGCATCGGCAGCACGTTAGCAATTTACCTGGAAAGCTTCACTTTCCAGCCGTATTATTACTCCAAAGCTCAGGTTACTGCATCAAGTAAGTAAAATTTTCATGCATCTGTCAATGGAAAAGACACAACATGTAAAGGAGGCACTCACTTACTCCAGAAGCACAAGGTCATGGATTTCATAGTCTCCAATTTTGGTAGCACCCGTTGTCACTTCTGAGCTCTCAACAACATGATCAGCAAAGACACGAATCTGAAAATGGAATCCTCATATGATTTATTTTCTTTTCTATTCATTAAATTCGTTCACGAATTGCATGAAATTTGGCTTACATCTTCTTTAGTTGTATCAGACAGGATGATAAGCACATGCTGGTCAACTTTGATAATCATGCCAGTCCCTCCTTCATGGGTGCTGGAACCTTCACATGATTTCCAGGCTCAAAGTACTTGCAAAGGTCTCTCTCGTTTAAGGCAACTGTTTTCTGTAACACATAGTTAAAACTCGACCTTTTTTCCTGGCTCAAGAATTTAAAGCATGCATGCTATTGCTAACAGATCTAAAAAATGAATCCTGGAGCATGATGAATGCTTACAGGGAGGTCTTTCATTTCTGGTCTGATATGAACATTCTCTTCATCCACTTTCTCAACCTACCCCTTCAAATTTTTAAAATCACTTGTTCCTAAGTTGTAAAATGAGCAGGGCACATGAGGCCTCTAAAATCCGAGGTGCGATGCGCATCCTCTATACAACACGCTTTTATAAAAATATTATTAAATATTTTGTGTTGACAAATATATTATAAATTATCCAAATGCAAAATATTTAATATATATTAATGTTTAAAATCATCAAAAATAAAAATAAACATTCGAAAGCAAAAATTCAAAATATCAATTGTCATTTTTTTAATACCTAACCAAGATCAATATTATCATAACGTTCATCCTCTATAATAATCATCGTCTTTACCAATATCTTCTTCTTCCATCAAAGTCAAATTGTTCTCAATAACTATACATTTTCCTTTATTCATCCGAAAAGAAAGAGCTAGACCATCTTATACACATGTTGATCTTGAACGTCTAGTATAATAACTCGGATCATATAACTCTGTTGTCCTACCAACTTGACTCCATGTGAGGCAATCATTATCATCAAATGCAAAATCATTGTCATCCGAGTTGTCTTCCATGCATCTAAGTAACCATTCATTGTTTTCATCAATTTCTTTCAAAAGAATGGGATCACTTGTGTCTTCCCATTTGTATCGATGTTACCAAGCGCGATTGTATTTAATAAAAACCAAGTCATTGAGTCAAACTTGTGCTAATCTATTTTTCTTCTTTGTGTGAATCTAGAAAAAATAAAAGATATAAATTAATAGTTTGTTAACAAAATAATATGTATGTTATTGTAAACAAACAAAAAGAATATATACTTACATGTTGAAAAATACCTCGATTCTTGTCGCACTACAAGTGATTCTAAGAATTTTTAGAGCAAACTTTTGAAGACTAGGATTCGAATATCTAAAAGAAGACCTCCACTTTGTTATTAAAAGCAGAAAAATAAAAATAAATTTTATATATTGCTAAATATATAATTCATAATAACTTATATTTTAAATTTTGATACTCGGTGAACGTGTGTTTCTTGGTCTAATGGTTGTAGAAATACCGAAAAGACTCTCCGCCGATTTATGTTTCCATCTTTGTTATGATCTTATCTTCCATTTCAACGATACCAGATAATCTTGCAATGCATTCAAATACACTTCATTACCTCTTCACAATTAGAATCCGGATTATCGTAATGGAGATTTGGATTTAGAAAATAGCCAAAAACAGCCAATTATGCCGGTGAAATTGGCAGTCCTATCTCCTATCAATATATTAAAATGCTACCTTATATTGTTCATCATCGGATCCAAAATTTGTAGGTATAGCCTTTTTTGCTTTATCCATAACTTCATAAATATAACTCATTGACGGTTTTATCTTCCCTTACTAATGTTAACTTGAGTTACTCAATCCACTTGAGTATAACCCGTTTGGGTTTAGTAATTTGTTGGGTTAGGTTGGGTTTATTGGGTTATCCATAGCTCCATAAATTTAAGTGATTAAATGGGTTTATTGGGTTGAAATGAGTTTTATAGGTTTGAACCAACCCATTTAAATATTATATTGGGTTAAACCCAAATCAAACCAACAAATTATTAAATCCAAATAGGTTATGCCTAAATGGATTGGATAACCCAAGTTGACATTAGTAATGAGGAGAAGAAACCATCAATGGGTTATATTTATAGAGCTATAGATAAGACAAAAAAGGCTATTTCTACAAATTTTGGATCTGATGATGAATAATATAAGATAGCATTTTAGTATATTGATAAGAGATGAGACTATCAACTTCACCGACCCTTACATGTTGCTGGTTATTTTCTAAATCCAAGTCTTCATTATGGAAATCCGGATTCTAATTGTGAAGAGGTTATGAAAGGCGTATTTAAATGCATTGCAACATTATCTCGTACCGTTGAAATGGAAGATAAAATCATAACAGAGATACAAACATATAAATCGGCGAAGGGTCTTTTCGGTATACCTACAACCATTAGAGGAACACACGTTCTCCAAGTATCAAATTTTAAAATATAGGTTATTATGAATATTATTAATTAATTATATACTTTTTATGTTTAAAAATATATAAAATTTATTTTTATTTTTCTATTTTTCATAGCATAGTGGTGATCTTTTTTTAGATCTTCAATTCCTAGTCTTCAAAAAGTTCGTCCTAAAAATTCTTAGACTCGCTTGTAGTGCTACAAGTTGCGACAGGAATCGATGTA